CCAACTCCCGCGCGCGATTCTCACATTTTGCGACCCGATAATCGTTCTCCCCCTTCAAAAAAAAAAGAAAGAAAATATTAACGAAGCGAAGGGCCATTCGAGAATGCAATTAATATGCCGTATTAATTGTTTTATTCAGACACAACGTGTCCAAAACCCTCTTGTATTCCCACCCTTAGCTCGTCGACCCGGGAAACGAGAAATGGGAGACAAACCGGGAGATCGAGATGCAATCGGGCGCAACGTCAGCGGTGCAACGTCGAGCGATGCACTCGCGGCCGTTCGCCGTTACGGCCGAGGGCTCGGAGTCCTCGAGTTCAACACGTCCGCGGAGATCGACTCGACGTCGTGCGTCGCATTGACCGCGACGCGATATTAACCCGCTGGCGGTCCCCACCGCGAACGGGTATTCTTCATAGTTCCACTTCCGGTTGCAGCGGAGATTGTTGCGAGGTCACCGGCTGGCGCCGGTGCGTTTAACGCGCTGCAGTTGTTGCGTAACAAATGGTCCCCCCTCGTGTGTGCGTGTGCGTGTATATCTCTTCCGAGCTGCGTTTCTCGAGCAATCGTTCGTTAAAAGAAAAAAAAATGAAATGTTCCTTTCTTCTCGCTCGCTCGAATAAAACTCTAAAAGTCTTTGTAAATAGCGTTAAGTATATATAAAACAAAATAGTACGCTTCCCTAGAAAGTATAGTTATATATCGAGCACGCGATTTGGATTTCCGAAGGAGCCAACGGGTTAATATCGCGTGTCACGTCCCGCGACAAATCTCACGGATAATTCTCTCAGGATCTTGTTAACGCACGCGCTTCGCGGTTGTTTTATCCTCTCTGGTTTTTCTTTTTCTTTCTTTTTAATTGGTGCGACGCTCACCTCTCTCATTGTCAGGCGGTAGCGTGAACGCGAGAATCCGATCTTGCCGGAAACGAGAAGAGACGTTCCGACTCATCGCGGCGTGTCTCTCTCTTTCTCTCTCTCTCTTTCTTTCTCTTTCTCTTTCTCTCGTACGTTTCTCGCTACCGCGTGTCTCACGTACGAAGGGAAGTAAGGACAGACCTTCGACGGAGGAGAAATTCGCCGCGCGAAGCGTCGCACGTTGTACAGTAATCGCACGATTATCGCTACGATCTAATCATTGTCGTTGTAAGTTCATTTACCTCTGCGTCGGTGTTTGATCGTCTAAAACGGTAAATACGCGCGCGGATTACTTATCAGGCGCCTGTAAGGGAAAAAGGGGGGAGTTTAAATGCTTTCAATAACAATGTATCTCAATAAACGTTGATGATCATTTTACAGACATTGAACATGGCGTATTTCTTCCGTGCTAGACACACTTTACCGAGATCACCGTCGTTCGATCGGTTTACTCGGCGGGCCCGGGTAATCCTTGCGTTAACAAAACGGTATTGTGCCGAACTTTCAATTAATCGCGCGTGAGGGAGGGCAAGAAAAAAAAAACCGCGCGCGTACTTACGCATTTAGCGCGACTTCGCACACCTCGTTTTCGCATTTTCGATTCGCGGCCGGCACCGAAGGCTGACGAAGCTCACGAGAGGAGAACGGGGATAGCGCGAGATCCATCAGGCAGCCATCTCGCATACGACCGATTTCTTTTCTCTTGTTTTTTTTTCACCCCCTCGAAATGTATCTCGAAAATTAACATCCGTGTCTATATACTCTAACAGCATGTGTAGAATCTGAGAATGTTTGCAGGGTGTCGCAAAGGAATAGGATATTATAGGGATATTCTCAGAATAGGAAGATCCTCTATTATGAGATAGTAGGTTTCCAACGTCCAAATTCAATCGCAAATCTTTGTTTGCAACGACTACACGATCTAACAATCAATTTTCGACTAAACAGATTTCACTACAAGGGCAATAAATTCATGGTGGAACCAAATGATGCATATTAATTTAGCAGAACCTCCTCATACTAGAGAAGCCTATCTCATAATAAGGGACTTTTCTCTATATTCTTAGTACATTCTATAGAAGTACAGAGTATCGTGTGCTGTTACGGTATATATATACAATATACACTTATAGTTACTATATAACTACTATAGCAGCTTCGATCTCGAAGCAGAACTCTAGATTATTTCAGTTCCGATCGCGGGTTACATGTTTAACGAGGGCGAAAAGAAAACGCGAGTATGCGAAGAGAGGCTGTACGCAAGGGGCTGTAAGGAGGCTCGTTTGGATACTTTAGACGAACGACAGGGGAAGGAAAAAAACGATGTGTACTTATGTGATGTACCGGACACGTGGAGTAACGATACGCCCGCTGTGCGATTACTGAGAATTTGTAGCTCTCTGGGGGTCTCTGTTGTTATCTAATTTTACGGGGTACGGCGAGGGATCGTCTCGTGTGCGGCGAGAGGGCCGCCGATTGTAAAATTACTTAATTAATTAGGTAAGCAGCGAGTAATACACATTATTTATTGCGGTTAAAGTGTGGTGAATTTTAGGGAAGTTATGCAATTACGTTTCGCCGAGTGCAAGAGTTAATAATAAAGAGGAAGAGAGGAAAAAAAACAGGAAAAAAAAGGAGGATTTGTTTCTCACGCGCAACCAATTAACCGAGTGCGAAAGAGTGACACTTATATAACAATTAACATGGACATTAAAATTAAAATAGAGGTAATGAGTGTGGGAAGAATTAAACTGGATTTTGAACTTGCGAAAGTCTAATTAAACGTTAAATAAATAAAGTACACGATTATTCACAGCTGTCGAACGAGTGTGTGAATCGATTCTCTCTTTTTTTCTCTTTTTTTTTAGTTCGTTCACTGCTACCGCTTTCGATCTGCACCTTTTCGAATAGTCGTTTTCCACCCATCGCCATCCGCCGTTTTACTTTTGCTATTAGACTACGCATTAGCGCACGAAAAGTTGAGATAGTTTTTGACTTATTCAGTCGTTCAGTTTCCATGATCTACGCGCGATGAAGATACACGAGAAGTAGACCTCAAACGAAGATTAGGTTCAGACACTTACTGGACACAATTTAGCAAATTATACATACATACATACATATATACACATATATTGTATGTGTACATATACACGTATGTATAAGTAACTATATAAATAAAAAATATAGATATATGAACGCGAATATAAATATGAACATAAACGCAACTATAAATATGAACATATGAATATATAAATACGAAAATATACATACATGAACATAAATATATAAATACAAAGACAAATGCAAATATAAATAATATAAATACAATTACCAATAAAAATTAGATATAAATACATATACAATATAAAAAGTTGTCCCGTTGTAATTAATGCAGTGAAATATTTCGCATTAAATAATCGGGACACTTATTTTTTTTTGTCTCCAGATATAATATCCTTATCGAAGCAGATAAAATACAAAGCATGCTGTATCTCGCTTAACATAGGAAATATTTTACAGCATTCATTAAAATGGGTTACTCTGTATCTATAGGAGATCTTAGAAGCCGCGTACCTCGCCTGAGAAACCACGAAATCGTTAACTACGCAATTGTGTGTCGTCGAAAAATTAAGGAATTTTGGCGTATTAGGCTTCGAGTATGTACATACCTTATTGATATACATAAATCGTGTTGCTCGGCCCAACGGGTTCGGTGAATTTTAACAGAGAGATATTTTATTTAGAAGTCCACTCGCGCCAAAATTGTTTAATGCTGCAAATCAAAAAGAGACCAAAGTTCAGTCAACTTAAAAAATCTGACTGCATTTTAATGTCGTTGAGTGCGCGTCTCTTCCGAGACACCCAATATTATATATAAATATATATACATATATGTATAAGAACATGTATGTATATATATTCGTGTACATGCGCGCGGAGTAACACATAAATAACGTAGCTTTAACGTACTTAAGAAATCGATACTGATTTTCGAGATTATGCTTAAATATTACCTCCTCTCGAAGGTATAATTACTCTCACGTTGATAATTTCATAATAATCGTTGATAAAGTGCGACTTAGAATAGCGATTGATCTTCGTAAAGCGACCGATGCAAGCGATTGCTTTAAAAAAAAATTCGTGACTTAGGTTCGTCTAAGGCTTTAAATTTATATAGCGGCAGATGATTGACACGTTGATTACTATATTGCATTGTCGCGATCTCTGGCGTTATTTAAGGAATTCGACTAAACTTACTTTCCCGGCGATTATCCCGCTCTTTAAGTCGCGAATCCGATCGTGTTCCAATTTTTCTAATCCGACAAAGTACCTTCGTTCCGCCTGGAATCAGCGTGTTAATGACACAACGTGTGTTAATCGATGATAGTATCCGCGAGTTCACTTATTGTTAGCGTAGCTTAAGGTTTAGTTTGTTATTAGAAAAGAGGGGCGAGATAGTGTTTCACGCTATCGATCCTTATTTGTTACTTATTAAATAAGCTTCGACGGTAGGCATTGTAAAAATGTAGCAGTAACACGACGAAGGGATGCCGAGTATAATAATCCCGAAGACGAACTTCCACCGATGCATACTTACATGCGCGTAAACGCATGGCCTCGTAAATAGCCCTTCTCCGTTGTATATCTTCGATCAAATGAGATCTATCGATCTAACGCGCAAATAGTTTGCATGCGCAAGCGACGTATTTGAGTCATTTTTATTTGCGAAAGCAATACGAACGATTACTTTTTTAGAAACAAAGATTTCAGGACAATATATACGGATCGAGCGTAAAAAATATATCGATTTTATGAATTTTTAATAATTTAATTCTTTCAAATATTATTTAACGTGTACGTTGGCTTTTTCTTTTTTATTCCTATATTTATCAAATTTATTACTTGCGAGCAGGTGAAAATTAAGAGAAATAAATTTTCTTTTTTCTTCTCAAATCGCGATTAATATGAAGTGAAAAAGACGCACAGCTTATTTTGTCATTGTAAATTGAAAACTGAACATTCTCCCGCAGTCGACTTTCAGTCTTAAAACTTTTCAGGGTCTCACTTATAAAAATCGAGTGGCGTTTTATAATTTACTTACAATCAGTTTCCGGCTTAAATGCGCCGCACAATACAATGACGAATGCATTCATCTGCAACTGTTTTACACGCCAGAGTAATTTCGCGTTGGTGGCCATGTAAAGATGCGATCCTCGGTTCTCGTCACGTTCAATTGTTTGCAATTTACAAACGAGAGTTAGAGAGAAAGAGAGAGAGAGAGAAAGAGAGAATGTGCGTGCGTGCGTGCGTACGTGTGTATGTGTGTGTCTGTGTGAAAGGGAGGTTCCTACATGTCACTCGACGATGTCACCGCTGTTAAACTCGGACGTCCGATTTTCTCGGAAGTAACAATGATATTAAATATATATTATATATACGTTGACGAACTTGTAACTACACACACGATTACACACACTAGAGAACGATTCTATTATCTTGTAAGAATTACTTATGCTAGGACCTCTGTATAAACTATTAACAAATCCGTAAAAGGAAGAAAAACGCTGTGTATAAGAACAGAATATTTATAAGAAACTAAAAAGAAAAGATATCTTTCACTACTTTCAGCACTACTTTCAACATAATCATTGTAATAGCCACTCTATTTAAGGTTCGTTGAAAAAAAAAGAGAAGAAATGAAACAACGGATTTCGTTATCACAGCTCGAGCTTCGTGCGAATTTTCCCGCTTCCCTGCCCATTATATAAACGAACTGACTTCATGGAGGATATTTATACGACCGTAAGAATATCCTACTGTAAAACAAAGGAATGCTATTGAAACGATCGCGTCAGAAATTATTTTTCTCAATGTTAATTCTTGTGGACGAGAAGGCGTTACTTCTGTATATTCACCGGGCAAGCCGATCTTATCGCGCGCGCGCCATTTATCGACTTTGATTGTCGTACACTCAGTTATCCGCCTGTCTAGATGTAATCAAAGCAAGCGGAGACCGATTAATCATGTTGATGATTAAAGAACGAATTGTTGAATGCGCCTCGGGCGAGTTTTCCATATAGAAAAATGAAAGAAATAATAAAAGTATGTCATACAGAGTCGGTAAATGAGCGCTGTTAAACTTCAGAGTCCGAAATTATCGAAGTTTTAAGAGATTTTTATGTACTTGCCCGAATTAGAAGACGGGACAATTATTATTGAATTAAAAAATAATAGTATATAGTTGAAATCTATACACATGGCTCTGGTATCATTTATTTGACTGATTCATTGCTCTTCCATTACACGTACACATTTCTTTCACAAAGGGCCTCACGAAGGGTTTTTTTAAATCTAAAGTCCGTGATAATTTTTAAATTATGCAAAGTTGCACGCACACATACACACAACTATTTTTACACCGTAGCAAAAAGTATGCTATTGCAGCTTTATAAAATTTCGCAAGTATCAAAAATACTTCACGAGTTTGGGGGACCGTTAATAGCTAAATAACGAGAAGTGTTGCGCAGCTTAACAAGTCCACAGTTGAGAATTCGAAAAAAAATATTCGTACCTTTCAAAGTCTACGACAACGTATCGCGCGCGTTACTATCTAAGAAAACCAAATATTGGTTTCGTTTGGCCGAGCTTACTTTCCTCTTCCAGTCCTCTCATAAGTTCTTCGTTTAGCTTGAGACTGATATCCTTTCCGACCTGTAAAATCGAAAATCCAGACAAATTCAGAATAATTCGCCTTCAAGCATGGCGTACGACATAATCAATATGTATAGAGACTGTTATCACCTGCAACATCTTGATAAAGGTGCTAGGCAGCAAGCTGCCGTATCCCAGCTTGACCACAGACGTCACCTTGCCGTTCGGCATCACGGACATAAGGACACTAGCCATACTGCAGGTTTCTTCTTCCGACGTTGGATCTATCACGAAATTGTCTCCAATCTGTTGGAGGAAACATTTTTCTTTCAGCGTAGCAATTAACATATTTATCAATTAAAGATTGAAACTTAATTGCCAAAAATGTACAAAGCAATTAATAAAAAGTTACAAAAAATGAGAGAGTAATCGTACTTTATTTACGTAAAGCGTAACTTGCTATCATGTCGATTCCTTTATTTCACAATAAAGATTATTGCGTTATACCTTGCATACTGTTACTACCAACGGATAATTTGTGACATCCAGTTTGATACAGTCGTAAGGATCGTCCGACACCTGGATATCCGGTTCGCCACCGTCCAGCGTTGCTGTGATCACCCTCGGAATTTCAGTATTGTACAAAGCCGCCTTCACCGCAGCGCCCACGGCGTCGAATAGATTCCCGCCGCACTGAAGAATCTGAGAAGGCGAACAGTAATGAGGCTGGCTCTTAAGCGTGGTCGTGCCACTCGACACAGTTGTACTCACCAAAATGTCCACGTATATTTTCCAACACTTCTTATGAGGTATAATGCACAGCTGCTTGAAATCGAAGGCATCTGGCGTCTGATAAGCCATAGAAAGGATGTTACTTATCTCGGTCGCCAGATCGTCCCCGCCTTTGCCCTCGAACGCTGGTGTGGCGTTAGCGGAGCTGAAACAGACGACCAAAAGTATGACACTCTGCCCATTAATCGAGAATCTGGGGGCCAATTCTGTGTCTTGCAATATAGTAAAAATGCCTACAAGTGAACGGCTCTGCCTCTTTTTAGTTGGAAAGAGACAGGACTACTCACTTTTAGCATTTTCACTATAGTGTAAGATACAGAATTGATCACCCGAGCTTAAGACGCATGCGTACCAGTCTACGAAAAAGTCCAATTTGCCCTCATCCGGTCTCTCGGCGTACGGGGTGTCGATCTCCACTTTCACGCCCACTAATACGTCCGTGATGTTGCCTAGGCGTAATCTCGCCGATCCGTGCGTGTGCTTCATCAACCTGGTTTCGATCTCGATTGAACGGTACTGACACCTGGACCGTCCGTCATTTCTCAGATTAAGCTGAAATTAACGAATCAATCGTTATACGATGCCCAAGGAGCACAATGTTAGCAAAATGCTGCCAGATTTGAGCGGAACAGACGCACAAACTGTCTGCACTAGGCTTATATTTTGCCAGCAGAAACCACTTGTCATTTCATTGAAATCACACATTTCGCGCCAACGGTTACAAGATCCTGCTCGGTTCGCACAGTCACCCTGTCGTTACATTCTTTTAATAAATTCTGTCGCGTTTCGGCTAACATTTTGCCAACGAAATCTGTAGCAGGCACTTTACAAAGTCCACCTTCGAACGCGGCTAATAAGAGATTATTTTTCGAGTAAATTTCTGTTCAACAATTTACAATACAATTATTAATGGAGCGGAGGTAATTATTACAGTATTCGCGTAAGTAAATGCCGGTGAGTGCGAACGCGTGCACGCCGGATCGTCGGAGACGACAGCACGTGCACGCACAACCGCTGCCGAATATACTCACGTCGACTCCGTGAATAATAAACGTCTTCTCGCCCAAACTCAAGGGGGTCTCGGCCATCTCGCAGATAACGACTTCGTTGATCTAACGTCGATTCTAACACGGTAACATGATCGCAAATGCGACGTACTTGCTATGTTTATACCGCTGTAACAGGGCGACGTAACCTCGCATCCATTGCTACCGCAGCGACAAGCGAGCTCGGTCGGTCTTGCAGAGCGGTTTCTTCAACTAATGCGGCGCTGCATAAAACTGCGGTCAAGTTGTCGCTTCAAATGTCTTCGGTATTCTTTTTCTCTCTTTCAGTAAAATTAGGCTGCGGTCGAACTGCCGCTACAAATGCTTCCAAGTATTCTTCTTTTCCTTTCTATCAATCAAAATAAAAGAACAGAGACGCCTCGAGGCATTTGTAGCGGCAGCTTGACCGCAACTTGGCTCTACCGGCAAAATTATTAGCAGCGAAGTTGTAATTGACATACAATTCATTGTGTTCAAACGAAGTTTCCTTACCTCGCGTCAAACAGAGAAAATTAATAATCCTACTCGAATTAATAAAATGATATTAGTCGCTCGTTAACTTGACAGAAAATATCCGAGCGATATAGGATTATATAAGAGCTGTTATAATCTATCAAAAGTTTCAAAGGTTTCTTACATATTGTAGTTCGACGCTTGGTATTGTGCAACATGTGATGATTATTTTTATGGCACGTGACAAATATGCACGTTGTCTCAGAAAGTAATTAAGAGAATGTATCTCGATAAGAGAAGTAAGAGTTGCTGATCCGAGCCTCAAGTCATCAATGCGCGAGTTAGATTGCTCCTAATTATCCCAGTACATACTTGTTACAAAAGAGATAACATCGAGATAACCGTTTATTACTAATGACATTTATTAACATCGCGTCTCTCACTTTCGTGACATTTAACGATGTTCAATTAAATAACTATACAAGGAAGATACCGCGCTTTCAAGATTTATATAGGCGACTTGTCGAAATCGTTCACGTAGAAATCAGTGCCCTTCGTTCTGTATAAGACGTTCAGATCCTTAGTGTCGGGATACATTTTGTGTCTAGAAATTGTGATCTTCCATCCACCGTTTCTCATCCAATTCTGAGGGAATCAAATAAGACGAGTATAAAATATATGGCGTGTTTTACGAAAAGCAGCGCGTTCAGTGCATCGAAGTAGACTTTCGCGTACCATTTTGTTGTACTTGAGATGATAATAGATGCAATAGGTCGCAAAGACGCCCATCATCATTCCGGTTAAAGTGCGCCGAGTTACGTACGCCGGTCCTTTACCCTACAAGAGCAAGAAGCTGTTAATTCTTTGGCATAACAAGTGCATGCATCACCCACGTGGGACTCTTTCTATTTACAATAAACGGTTCCAGCATGCCCTCGAATTTTCTTCCGGGCGCCATGTAGAATCTCCTGATCGGATTGTACATCTCTTGGTAGTAGCCCTCCGGCATCACCGGCTCCTCGGGCGCGAGTTTCTGAGCGTCCAGCCATTTCTTCCTCCACGCCCGCTCCTCATCCGTCATTCCCAGCATCCGCTCCCTTTCGCGGTCCATACGACGCACGATGGACATGGGCCTCTCGCCATCTATGGCCTTGGTGTCCGGGATGTCCGGTACTCTAAACGGTCAATCGCTAAATTATTAATTGTAAGTAATTGAGTGTCGTTCTAATATTATACCCTCGACTCTAGGTAACATGAAAGGAGCAAAGAGCATCTATAGCACAGTAGGTAGAGCAGTCGCCTGGCAAGCGGAAGGGTCCCAGGTTCAAATCCTGGTTTAGTCCGCTGTTTTTCTCGCCCAATGCCTACCTCTTCGATTATATACATCTTTGCTTATTATGGGAAAAATAATCTCTGTTGATTGTGAAGCTGGACGAAGCGTATTGGTCCCGTGACGGATTACAAAGGGTGCGTGCAAATAAGCGAAAAAAGATCCAGCTGCTTTTTGTTATGATAAATTCTGCGATGGCAGAGAAAATCTGGTGCTTCGACACCGCGTCAAAGAAAACTGGTGGGTGAAAACTGATTGTATGTCAGCGTCAAACATCTCGCTCGCGCATCGTTGACCTGTCACATGATACAATACATATTTGTGGAATGCAGGATTTGATAAATATCGTACTGCGACATGATTCTCCCGACGATTACGTGAGCTCCAGGATCTCATAAACACCGATCCTCCAAACTGACAGTGAGGTTAGCTCTGCTTGTGTCTTCCTGTTACATCACAAGAGGTCTGTTCTTTTCAGCTGAATTGCTGAAACCAGTGATATGGGACTAGAGACGGGCCGGGTCTTTGGCGCATGCGTAGCGAGAGCAGCCGATAAGCAGTAATGTCTACTATCTACAAATATGAAGCTTTTATTTCCTTAAATGCTAAAATGCTACGCCTATTTTTCAGCATTGCGCTGTGAAATTCAAAATGACATTAACATAAATTATCTGCACATTTATATCAACTTTTCTCATGTAGACAATGTAGATTTTATAAATTAGATGTCAGAATGCATAGCACAGACATGCACCAAGTGGAAATTCTATTGGCAGAGTCAGAAAATGCGTAATGAAATAGTTCCAAAAGTAAACTAGTGTAACCAGTTAAAAAAAGGATCCAAGAGAGGTCGTAAGGGAAGTTTCGCGCCACCTTGGACAAGAAACCTGGCCTTTTCAAACGAACGAAAAGAAATATAATGAAACGATTAAATTGAATTAAACAATTTAGAGAGAATTCAACTAAACTGAAATTATTAGTTTTTCATTTAACTTGTGAAAAGAAAAATCAGAGACAACAAATTACATGTATCTGTATGTAAAGTTATATAATATTTAATTATTTAATTATAAAATTTAGTATAAAATATTAATCTTTCCTTCCATTAAATAGCAAAGATCAATAATTCCAATCTTAATAAAATATAAACGTTACTCAAATTAATCGTAAAGTTAATCAGAATTTAATTAACATCGTCTTTAAAAGCACATTTTTAGCTCAATTTTAATTCAACATTCTGTAAACCATATTTTTATGAACGATATCTTTATAAATCTATATCTGCACAAATAAGACTTAAAGCTGAGGAAAATTGAATTACTGCGGTAAAATAATATAATGTAATTAAGACAGTAATAGCATAAATAGCGTGATAATGATAGGACTAATTAACAAGATAATTAATAAGAAAGTAGATTATACGATATCCGAAGAATGACGATGCGTTTTGGTCGTAGGTATATCATTTATTTATTTATTTAATCGACTCTCTCGCAGTATATTTGTTCATTCATATACTTTATCTTTCGAAAATCAATTACAAGTGTCATCATCTATTATCTAGAGGGTATAGGTAGGTAAGTTACAGGCTTTTTCACAGTATTGACTCTATATACTATCCAGATATGACTAAAATCTGTATCTACAAATATATTATCTCGTATCTCGTATGTGTGTACAGGGTGTCTCGCAACCGTGTTTCACTTCCTCCTAACGACAGTTACGAGCGGCGTTTCGCGACGCCGTAATTCAAGTGGTTAATTAAGAAGGAAAAAAAACAACAACAAACCAAGTGCACAATAATTCGTGGGCGAGCCTGCACGGTGATGACGTGCATCGATTTTCGTTCGTCGCACGCGAAGCAATATGCAATTGTATGTTCCAAACGCGTGCGATTCCGTTTAAATGCTCCCAAAAAATCGCGTCTCCTTGTCGACAAGTTTGCCTCCCGGCCCTCTCTTTAAAACACACTTCCTTCGCCTGTTGAAGTATCTATTGTCAAGAGAAAGCAGACACCTTGTATATACATATAGTACACAAATATATATAACATATATATACATATATTTATAATGTATGTATATAATTATAATATACATGTATTTGTATAATGTATATATAATTATAATATACATATATAATTATAACATACATATATATTTATACATATTTTTATATATATAAATGTGGACCAGAAAAGGCGGGATCTATAACGGGGGTACGTCGGCGAATTTGGGATTAAAGTTTCCTTAACGAATACTTGAACCGAGTATAAGTGCACAGGTATACAAAGTTGAGACCAAGTACGTTCGATGAGTTACATATCAAGGATGCAAGCGACAGAGTCTTACCTGTTAACGCAAATCTAAGATAAGGTACTTAATGCGAAAGAACGTTAAGGAAAGAATTACCTCAAATTCGGAGGACGCGTTCCTCTCCGCGTCCAACTCCCATTTTCTCGCCTCAGGTCCGCTCTGTATGTATATTTAATAACATCTTTATTTTTCTCTCTCTCTCTATATATATATATCAATATCTCCATATTTCTTTTCTCTTTCCCGTGTGGGAGTCAATAAATATATTTCCTCTTTATTCGAGTCCCAAGGGGGCAAAAAGAAATCGTCGCAGTTTCTGGAGTGAGAAGTAAGTCGTGTGTATACCTCCCGTCGCAGGAGCTTTGGTAAAAGGTTTCCTCTTTTTTTTCCCTTCCTTTTAAATCGGTTATACGATATACGTTAAAAGTAGATTTATACTTGATTTGACACATATGATTGAGGTTTCGAGCAAGTTTGTCCGCTGCTTAGCTCGCATCTCACAGCCTAGAGGTGATTTAAATCCAGAGCGCGGCCCCATTTCAAATGGAACGCGCCGCAAAACGCCGCACTATACCCCGACAAATGCCAAGCCCGCAGGTATTATACGATAATTACATCGTTAACAACCGAGTTGCGCCTCCGTCGTGCGAAATTTACGTTCGAGAAATCTGCGACGAAAATAATTCTCAAATTCAAACTGTTTTCTCCGAAGGCCAGAGGATGTTCCTCGGATAGTACTCCGGTTATATTTCATGCTCTGCAAAGACGAGAATTCGCGATCGGTCTCGCGAACGAAACTTCTCTGGAAGAAAGAATATTCTCGCGCGTTACGTGTACCGTTGCTCGAAAATGTGCTGCAGAAACAGAACGAATATCTCAAACAGTATCTGGACACTCTCCGTCGCGATCAATGGGTAAAACGAAGTAGTTGCATCGCGCTTTGACTCTCGCTTTTTTATTCGCCACCTGAAACAGCTATCTTATCTTCTATTTTGCAGCAGTGGGAAACTCCTTTATAGCCAAAGTATTGTGCGCATTTTTCTTTATCTATTCACAATGGGTCGCATACGTGTCTCACTGTGTGTCTTCCCGCCACAGCTTGCTCGTTCAGTCTTTTGTAATCTACCTACAAAATGCAATTACAAGGAGTTACTTTTCGTAACGGAGACGGAGTATTCAGAACGCGTTCCAGATACCATTCTGTTCCTACAAAGCGAACGTAAACCGCGAACGCCGGACGCATCTCCGCCGCTGCCGATAACACGCACTAGCCGAATAGAATGAAAACGGGTGCAGGTCGTCCTTACGCTATCGAATTTCGCTATTAAATTTTCCTAGTATTTAAAGAGAGCGAAGGATCGCCGGGGGGCAGCGGCCAGACCACCGACTCGGAGTTCTCTCTAATTCTCGCCTCGCACCGCTTTCATCCTCACCGGCCAAATATATGTATATGCACTCTATATATATATATATTTATTTATATCACACGTACGCGTACGTTTGTGTGCCATGTGGTCATTGTGCATTTAAAGTAAATACGACATAGTAAAATATTAAAGCGGCAGCAGAACACTGCAATACTGTTCGATCTGTGTAAAGGACCGTCTCTCTCATTTCCTCTTCTCCATCTCTCTTTATCCACTTCCTCTCCTTTCATATTCCCTTTAAAATCCTCTACGGTAAACACGCGATCGTTTTTACTTCTTTTTCTTTTATCTACGTGTTTATGTACAACATGTGTATAGCGATTTATCCGGCAACAGTTCGACTTGTATTAGCGATAAACTTTCTCATAATGTCAACATGTCTCGTATAAACTATACAGTGCCAATCTAACAGCATCGAGTAAGATAAGTACACATAAAATATATGCAATCGATAAGTAACGTAATAAAATTATAAAGTACATGTCGTAAACATCGTGGACGAGAGAGAGATATACATACATATGTATATATATAATATATGGGAGAGAGGCGGATAATAATGTATATATATGTTTCCTATACATTTAGAGTCTCTATGTGCCCAGCTCTGTTTCCGATACTCATCTGTCGTGATGCAATCGCGGTGTAAAGATATATATTGCTTGCATATATCCGTCGAACTGATGTTGAGACGAGCATTTTGCTGCGTTTCCGATAATCGCTTCGCGAAGTCGAGAATCACATCGTGAAATATACTCTCCGTCGATACGACGGCCTTTTTCCTTCATCTCGCTTCAGGGTATCCGACGCAATTCGAATCCCCGTCGGAGTTACGAGGACGAAGGTGAAACAATTTAACGCGTGGGATATATTATATATAGAAATCTCTTCTCCCCCATTAATGTAAATATTCTTCTTCGTCTACACTAGCGGGTCAGCAGCGATATCGATTCGCGCTCACCCATTTTTTTTTAATCCGATACACTTTCATATGGTATTATCAACGTTTTGACGTTTCTCTTCTCCCACTCTTTTTCTCTAGCTACAGGTATTGCAGGACAGTGCATGTACTTTACAATGAATAGTGTGAATGTACATACATATATACATATATAAGAATGCGCCTGAAAGTATCACGCCTGGAAGTATCACTTTTACTTTTTTTCAAATGACAAAAGCTGCCAGTAAAAGTTCAATAAGATTCAATCTATTTTGGGTATTTTAGTCCTTGCAATATTTTAATTCTTAAATATTCTTTTCTCAGTGATATACATTTGGTAACATTTGAAAATATATTAGGAAACGACAATTATCTGTTTAAAGTCTCAAAATTACACTTGCCTAAACTCAGTGAGTTTGGAGCTGTTTTAACTTTCTGATTTTGGAACAATCGTATTTCAATATCTGTGACCGAGAAAAGACGCGATAATTTCGGCACACCCTATATGTACTGTCAAACGAAGTATCTCATCATCTCGATCCTCTCGCTAGTTGCAAGAAACTGTTTTGCAGAAATTTGACAAGTCGTGGTGCGTAATCTCGTATAATTCTTAGCGCAATATAACTTACGGACATTGATTAAGTAGTATTAAGTATCGATAAATATTACATTGAATGCTAGTCTCGCGGTCATCTCTTTCTCAGTTCTTTCGTCAAAATTTCCGCTCGTCAAAGAGAGCCCGAAGGAACGAATCATTCGATGCTAAATAGAATTTAGTGTCGCTGTAATAGTCGGAAGATTAAAATTTTATCGTTTCAGGAGTAAAATCGATTTGAATAAAATTAATTTCTTAATCGACGCTAAAAAGCCAAACTAGCGCCAAATCGATAATCTAAAAAATTAAAATCAATTTCGTTTTAAAGACGAGAATGATCTTAATCAGATTAAGATTTTCTTTCTTTCCTCTTTCTCGTCGAAGAATTTAATTTAATTACCGCGGTCTCGTCGAGGTGACTTAATAAAAAAAAGCGTCGATTTGTCGGCGACGTCGAAGAAACTGAGAGAAGCGATTGCCGGCATGATCATTTTCCGTTCGCTGATCAATTAGGTATATTAGAGAAGGCCTATCTAAATGAAGCGCGGCCGGAAACGGGGCTACGCGCGAAACGTGACATGCACACGACAATTAATGCGATTAAAATTACTTTACATACGCTATACGCTAGCGCTATATATATATTTTTTTCGATGAGATTTGGTAAGGATCGCCGTGCATTTTGGCATTGAGTCTTTCGGGTTGCACTCTTCGCGTCACGATTCAACTTCACTTGGTGTTATCGATTAATAAGTAATAATGGCATCTTGGACCGGTAGGCCTTAAAGACGATACAAACGCGCGCGATTGTGTGTACGAATGTGTGTCTGTATATGCTTTTGCGTGTATATGTATGTGGAGATTTTCGCGCGAGAGTGGAAAAAAGAGCGGAGTCTCGATCACTCCGAAGGAAATGCATTAATACTCGCGACACATTCGTCGTCGTCGTCTTCGTCGTTCTCTATTATCAAATACACACACATATATATATATATTTATATATATATATATAATCATAATAAAAGTCGGCGCTATCCTAGGCTACTCTAGATTCACCTATATCAAGCAATAAAATTATACTTACTACTCTTATTCTTTCCCTATTAACGACAATGCATGTAGAAAAATGAGCCTCTCGCGTCTTTGGTTAAACGCGAAGCATTTAGAAAGTAGTCTGGCAGTGGTTTCGTAGATGCTTCGACCTTAGCCTCGGACCAAATTTTGATTTTTTCCCCCCACTTTTTGCCATTCTTACTTTTGCTCTCTTCCTCTTTCGTTTTAGACGTGATTTTAGCTGCTTCAGTTGCAAGAAATTGAATCGAAGTGACGTTTACTCGGGACTCGGGTCTTATTGAGCTACAGTTTCTTTTTGTACCGGCGATTTCTTAGAGGTGCACGGTGTGCTGTGCCTGGCGAGTTTGGCCGAGCTCGACAGGTGTCGAGTCTGAATCCGAGCAGCCCCGCGCTGCCGTATGCGACTCCCTGACGCGTGGCATATCCGACGCATAAACTTGCACACATTCTACGTTCAGAAATTCATTTAAGGAAAATCTATCCTTTGGCATCATCGCTTTTGGCTTCATCATTTGAACAACGATCGGTCGTCGCGGTCCGCGTAATAAGTCGTCTTCAATGAAAACTTCATCTTCCGTGTCCGATATGAACGATCGTCGTCGTTGTCGTTATCAGCCTCTTCTCCTTAACGACTTTCAGAGCGCGTAACGCAAGTGACTGCGCAGACAATGGCACAAGAGCAGTACATTTCTTAGGGTGGTGTCGTTTAGGTCACTGAGAAGTAAACTACAGCTCTGCTTCCGCAAGGCAACGGCATCAATTCTCGTCACTTCAGTTCACGAGTAGATGGTGATCACCTCCCGTCCGCTGCCCCGCACCATCAGTACTCTTTCCAAGCCTTCGGTGAGCACCTCGAGAAATTCCATATCTGGTTTTCGACGGTCAAGGAAGTTTAACGGTCTATTTCTTTTTCATATTTCTCAGCGTATCTACCATTAATTACTTTGATAATCTATTAGATTATAGCTAACAACTTGTACCTTTATATTACAAACTAATAATAATATTTTTGACAGTGCAATATTCAGAGTGAACGAAAGGATACAGTTAGATTCACGTTCCATCTTCGTGTCCCGTGGCGGTCCAGGAAGATTCAGGATAACCAATTGAGCCTCGCTGCTCATTTTACGAATTACTTCGTTCAGCTTCAACGAAGTATGCATACGCCTCACGTCACCCTCGTCACTGTTACAGAATTGTTTGTTAAAACAGAAACATCGATATCGAAATCAAATGAAATAACTCACGGTGTAATCGTAGGCTTCTTCATTTCCGGACTTTCGCTTTTGTTGTCCTGCGTATCGTTTTCTTTCGCTTCCGTTTCCTTCGCCTCCTTCTCCGTATTCTCTTTATTCTCCGCCTTGGGTGAGCCATCGATCAACTTTGTCTCCTCTTCATTGTTCTCTTTAGCCTCGTCATTCTCATTTACCTCCTCGGCAGAATCCAGCTCCTTGTTGTTTAATTCGGTTTCCTGCATCATCTTCGTGTCGTCGGTCACATTTGTACTCTGATTGCCCGGCTCCTGGAATCTCACCTTCGACGGCACTTTAGCATCCACGTTGTGATGATGATCTACAATCGCCTGCACCTGTATCATGGTAAAGCAATTGAGCAAACGAGCAAGCACTTTATCCCGTACAGCAGGAGACAGTCAGTCGAGAGGTGACTAATAATCTAGCATCAAAGCTATGGCCATCAAATCAATACTATCTAGGTAAGCGATCGTGCCAATTAAGCCGAAATTGAGAGACGCGGGGAGTTCCTGAGATCATGATGGGCAGGAAGAAACAAACCAACACAGTCGCTAAATAACATAATGTAATATCTACAAGTTTTATTTCCAAATTGGTCGTAAATTTCGAAAGCTAGAAGCTCAAATTCACGAAGCGAGGAATTGTTAATACTCAAGCTTTTTATGTATTTCCATAGAATTATTATATCCTTTACTTTATTTTAGAATTAGAAATTTTTAATTTTAAGCTTTCAATGTTTTTATGATGATATGACATTTTTAATTCTTTTTTTTTTCAGTCAAATTATGATCTGTCATAGTCTTAGAAATATTTGATATAATGTAAAATATTAACTTGCGATCTGCGGTAGTTTCTTCCACTTTCATATCACTAGGAATAGGAGTGAGATTGTTATGTGATATCGCGGGAAAGGGATACATATTACAAAATCGTCGGTGCAATGGAGCAATGATGGGAGAAAGGCATACGTGGAACTCCAGGGGTAATTTGACAAACCAGAGGTAATTTTTCCTCAGCGGGTACTTCGTTGAAGTCCACCAATGACTGCACCTTTATCCGTGAGGAGCGCGCAACAAACAGATACACACCGATCAGTATCGCCGTCACCATTTGTGGTTACTTAGCATTATATGCCTGTATATATTACAGTAATCAATCTATCTCTTTTATCCAGGATTCAACACTTACCACTCCTAATGATTGCTTTTTGTTCAGCTGCAGTTCACGTAACATCTGGTTTCTTTGTTCCATAATCAAGGTGCGTTCGTACGTGTAGGCGGAGATGTCAGTGTTTGTCTGTAAAAAAAAATCAAAACGTGAGATATGAATTTATCGAGATAACCGCGCGCTTTTCTTTGTTAAAAATTTTTATCGCACTTTTATCCATTTCAAGAGACAAAACAGAAAACTTTTCTAGAGAATTCAATCTCTCTTTATATCGAGATTACTGTAGGACGGAATTACCATTTCGACAATCTCGACTTCCGCTTCGATTCTCAGATCGTACAGGAATTTCTTCAGATCTTTCTTCATCTGTATTGAGTTGTCCTCCATCTGCGCGACCGTAAAGATCCTCATCTTGCAGTTCTTCCAGGTGCGTTGTTGCTTCAGTAGGAACGGCAGTAGCATCAATAGGCCGCCGTCATGCACGATCCACCAAACGTCAATATTGCCGATTATCTTTTCGGTGGAGTCCGGGAAGAAGTTGATGCCTTTGGGAACCAGCAGTGCCATCTTGGCGGCCGCGACACTTCTCACGGTCTGCAGGAAGACTCGCCAGGTTCTCTCCTCCTCCGACTGTCGCCAACCGTACGGCCAACCCAGTATCACTGTATTCGGTTTCAGTCCGCCGAGCCCGGTGTTTTGTATCAGCGAGCTCAGCCCTTCGACGACATTCTTCGCAACAAGAACATCGACGAAGCCCTTCACCCTCTCTTCTGCCGCAGTTTTTTTGAGGCTCTGCTTGGCCGCCAACGCCTCGCCCGAGTTCTGCGTGTAGTCGCCGGAGATGCAGCTGACGCTAATGGTGAGACCCTTGCCGGCCTTAAGTTGATTGGCGAAGGCGAAGAGCTTGCGATACTTAGGCACCAGGTCATCGGTGAGTTTGGCGAGGATCAGGATCTGCGGACGCCAGTTCTTCGTGTGCGGCGGACCCTCCTCGAGCCTGAGCAGCGAGTATCTAGCAGCGGACAGCGCCAGACCGCGAATACCGTCACCCCATTCCTTCTCGGCGCCGCGATACTCGATATACTTGTAGATACAGCCGGCCATACCCATCGCCACCAATGCGTAGTACCAGCTGGTCATGAACATAACAGCGATGCAGAGTGACAGGCCGAGGACCGACAGGCTCCAGTGATAATATTTGAAGCGTGGCCGCCAATTCGGCGTGCGCAGCAGGGTCTGCAGGGCGCAGGCGAGGTTGACGAAGCCGTAGCACATAAGGAAGAACATGGACAGCAACGGCGCCAGGTAGTCCACGTTGCCAAGCAGAATACCGCACTGGCAGATCAACACAGTGAGCACTAAAGCGCGAGTAGGTTCGCCCCGACTGGAACTGGTAGCGAATGGCGACAGGAAGGGAATTATGCCGTCCTTGGCGATCGCCTGTAGCAGCCGTGGTGCTCCTGTCAAAGACTGAAGACCGGCGCCCAAAGTGGATAGAAACGAACCGATCAGGATCACCCATTGATTCGGCCACGCCATATTTGCTACCACCAGCTTGCCGCCGATACTCTGGCCGAACTTGTCGCGTAGCAGCAGATTGTCAACGGTCCCGGCGAACAGGAGGACGCTGGATAGATAGACGGTGGAGGTCGTCAAGATCGCGCAGATCGTGCCGATCGGAATGGATTTCTGGGCGTCAGCCAAGTCACCGGATCGATTAGAGCCCGCCATAATACCTGCACGTTAGTGTCGTTGATTTCTTATTATTGCGTTCAATTGAACTAAATATTTTATTAAAAGTATGGTTCAAATAAGTTCAAATAAGTACATATAAAATGACATGAAATGTGAGCTTGAATAATTTTACTTTAGACCTTTAGAGCACTGACAAGATTGATATAACGACGTGACGAGTATAACGCTAAAATGTTTGCCTGCTTACCCGTCACAGAAGGGAAGAATATACCGATCAGAATAGTGAAGGTCGTGGTGAGATCCACTTGGACCTGGTTATAGCTCGATCCCGACAGGACATCGACGTCTTTCGGATCGTGTCCGTAAGCGATTAATTGACCCTCCTCTTGGTAATTGTCCCATATATTCTCTACGTGGCAGAAAATAAAGGGTGTATTTCTACGTTACACCGTTCATTGCTATTGTATTTCTTCAATGAATATAATTATAATCTCACCTAGGAACACGCCGCTCGCTAAGCCGCGGATACCGTTCACGATAGTAATATTGTTCTCGAGATAATACGGATCGCATCTCGTTTTGTTGCAGTAAACATTATGCAAAGCACCGCCGTATTTTTTATTGCACTCGGTAATGTCGATGTCCTTTAATAGCCTTCTGCCGAGCAAGCACAATCTAAAATACAAAGTCTCGAGTCTTTAAAGCGTCCCACCCATCTTTCGGCTTCTTCATTCATTCTTCCGCGACAATTATAATCATTTATCACTGCGGTATATTATAATCGCAACGGTATTCCGATAGTAATGGCTACATAATGCGAAAATTAGCGTCGTAAATTAGTTTAGTACTTCAGAGACTCGTTGCCGTTAACGTTTACGAAGAGCCCCACGTAAACAGCGATGATGGATAAAATGACGCAGGCCAGTGCGACGGTGGCGAACTTGTTAACGAACTTGACGCCCACAAAGACAATCGTGCCCATTATAATCAGCAAGATGGTGCCATATACACGAAAGTTGTTGTACATAATGTTGGCATCTTTCGTGAAGTCGCCGAATATGCTGAGTCCTGGCGCCATGTAAGTCTATGCAGAAATATCTTTTCTTTATTTATTAGGTCAACGAGAGAGAGAGAGAGAGAGAGAGAGAGAGAGAGAGGGGGACGTCCCTTCAAACCGTTACAGAAATTTTTTACAGAATTATGCTAAAGTAAAATATTTCATATTTACATATCAGATACTTTACGAGCGTCGCATAATTAATCCTCAATTACTAATCTATGAAACACTGCGGTACTTTCACTTCCATTTCGAAGTATAATCAATTATCGCGATCAATTGATTGGGAAACTCTTCCGGTGTAACGTCGTTAACTAGTTGATACTCACGAGAACGATCTCGACGGCGCCGATGATGTACATCGCGGCGGCCAAGGTGGTACCGGTGTAAAACAGCATACCCACCGCGCCGCCGAATTCCGGGCCTAAGCTTCTCGAGATCATAAAGTAGGAACCACCGGCCGGCACCACGCCGTTGGTGGCGATGGCACTCATACTGATCGCCGTCAGCATCGTCTGCGCGCACAAACAATAGCCGTTTGCAACCGGTTTACATTCCACGAAGTTTCACGCGCGAGAAACTATCCGTCGTTGCTAAAGGCCTGTGCCCAACTTTGCCCAAATTCTAGTTCCGAAAAGTGTGTAGTCAATCAACTTGCTGCTTTTATCGAAGTTGCAAGTTGATTGACTACACATTTCTCGAATCCAGAACTTGGACCAAGTTCTAGCATCGTGGACACAGGCTTAAAAGACTGATGAACGCTTCGACATCTCGGTTAAAGACAAATCGATTTCTCGGATTAACGAAACAATCTGCACGCGGTTCTTTCTTCATTTCTATAGATTTCGCTTTTAAGGATATTTTTGGACTTTGTATATTTGTAGATAATAGTGTGTTTTTAAATCTTTATATTATCTTACAATTTTACGCGGGCGCGACACATGGTCGAGATTTCGGTTTCTCAATTGTACTCACAACGCAACAGCAGCAAAGCACGATGAAGAAACCCTGAATAGCGCCGGCCGTGCCGACTACCCATGTCAGCCGGATAAAGAGGATCACGCCAAAGATGTTCTGGATACACGGCAAGTAGACACCTATGAGGGTACCCATCCGCGCCCCACCCCCCGTAGGCGGAGCTGGTTTGTCCGGATCGGTCGGGGCAGGGATGGTGTTGCTATAGTTGGCCAAGCTGTTGAGCAACGTCGAGATCCGCGGCCGGTCCTCCATCTCCTCCTACAAGGATTAGTCTCGATTGCTTGCCTGTCCGTCGATTGCATATAATTATGAGATTCGACGGTGAGGTATCGTTTCTCACCCCAACATTTCCCTTGTAATATTTTAATGACGCGACATTTTGATCGAGGAGAACTTCACTGCGCGAAGGACTACGGTGCGAATTTTCGATTTACGTCTCATCAAAGTCGACAGTTCGAGTACACGGTATGACAGTGCGACATTTAAGGGACCGAGACTTGATATTTACAAGTTGCGGCTGTCCGATCGTATATAGACTCCCGCTACTTCTGCACGATCGCGTACAGACTTTTCTACTTTTATCCAGCTATATATACATGTAGACGCTTTCTCTATTTTCATCTGGCCGCGTATAGACCTCGCTGTCGTACAGAATACGAAACAATCCCGAGATTAACGGCTCGTCGGACCAGCCGTCGACTCTTATCACTCGCGTGCTCGTTCTCACGGATATCCGCGCGAATCCGCGGCCCACGTCCATTATCGCGATCCCGCAAATTTCTCGTAAGATTCCTTATTATGCCGAAAGGGACGTCACAGCCTCATTTGCAATTTTATTGACAAACTTTTGCGGGGAAAGTGTCGCGTAACTCCGTCCGCCGGGACGCTTTTATGGAAATTGTTAGCCCTTTGTCATGTAAGTTTCCGCTGCAACCTCGTTACGACGATATTACACGTTGTCGATCTAATTTCGCGACAACTACTTTTCACATCGGGCATTCCGCTCGCATATCACACGGAGAAAACACAGATCTCTGTATAACAAATAAAACAAGGCGAGCTAAAAAGATCCTTTAACACACGGTAACTTTCTTCAAGTTTCAACGCATTTCTCCTGCCCTGGCTCTAATCTACGACATGTATATATATTCCTCTAATTACTTCTTTTATCTTCGCTATTTGCTGTTGGATGGTAAACAGTCATATCAATTTAAAGTCATGACATATGAAAGAAAATCCAGATATTCACCCTTTTCTTCTCTTCTAATTTTGAAAAAACCTTTTAGAATCGTAAAATGGACAAAATAATTCAAGTATAAGTGCCTAAACTGCTCTCTGAAATTGCACTCGTCCTATTTATCTCTCTTTAAAAAAATAATATTATATTATAATTCAATATTTTTTGAATTATTCCGATAAAATTTACACGCGCAATAAAAGTATACGGCTATCATTTGTACGCCTCTCAGGTTTATCCTCAATTGTGGTGTTCGATCGAGTCGAAGGAGAAATACGAGAATGCCGAGAGGGTTAAAGTTACTACGGAGCGAATTATCGGATTCGATGGAACAAACGGGACACAATACGCTTCGCGCGAGATTCATAGTTCGATAATGGCTCGCAGTTTTAACCGAAACCAGGTAGATAAGCAAACTGGGCCACGCGGGAGTTTCGGTTGATCTCTTACGGTTAGAAAAGTAGTAGAGTCTTTCGTTAAAATTGCAAGAAAGAACGATGACAAGAGGGAGGGTAAGGGAGGAGAGACTTAGCTCCCGAGTGCGCGGCTTAACTTTCGTTATGAAAGAACAGCAATTCAGAAAAGGATTCTTAGCGGTCGCAAAATTCCTGTTTCCTTAGAGCTTCAAAGTGCAAGGCATTATTGAGGGAACTGTAGCCGGTGGCTCAAGCTCTCGTATAAAAATATAATTTTACAATTTTACAAGAAAGACAGGATTGATCTTCTCAGCTTTACAATGAATAATTTTTGACAAGATAGTTCTGTTTGTGAATCGCACATTTTATAATCGCGCACACGTAGAGAATTTTCTTTTAAAATTTATCCGAAAAATCACGTAATCGTGGGACAACATGGCATTTTGAAGATCTTTATGAGAGTTTTTGAAATTTTACCATACATTCAACCGGTGAAATGTAGAGGAAAGTCCTCTATTATGAGATAGCACGTTTTCAATCCCAAATTCAATCACAAATCTTTTTCGCTACGATTACACGATCTAACAATCAATTGTCCACTAAGCAGATTTCACTCCAAGGGCAATAAATTCATGGTGGAACCAACGGATGATGCCTATTAATTTAGCAGAAACTCCGCTATCTCATATTAGGAGCCTATCTCATAATATTGGATTTTCTGCTATACTAATTGTAAGTACGAGAGGGAAACCGCTGAGGGCATTATGGTGTACAGATTTGCGGCATTACTGGGCATTACTAGACATTACTAGGCATTTTTTGGGCATTAGTTTGGACATTAGGCCTTGCTGGGGTATTATAAAGATAAAATAAGATAAAACAAGATAAATAAGATAATAAGATAAAGTAATGCCCACTGGGCATTAGTGGGCATTGGTGTACAAGATTTTGGTCAGCGGTTTTCCCTCGACTAATACAATAATTAAAATGTATGGTAAAATTTCAAAAAACTCTCATAAAATTCCTCGAAATGCCATGTTGTTCTACGATCACATGATTTTCAGGATAAATTTTAAGAAAACATTCTCTCCGTGTAGCATAGATAATTATTGTGCAGTGATTACATATAAATGACTTTACTTGCATCGACGTAGAGATAATCTCTTCGAAGAATCTAGTGGCTAAGCAAATAATTAATTATGACGATGTAGACGTTAAAAGTTAACGAAAGGCTGTGCACTCTCATTCCTTTTCTCGACAAAATAAGAATTTCTCGCTTTTCCGCAAACATGCATTGATTTTTAAATAATATAATTAGGTGCATTTAAAAATAAGACTTCACGCAATAAAATCTGATTCGCCAGACTTTCGTTGTACTTACACTATAGAGATACAGGTTGGTCTCATATCCCGACTTCTTCTCGGAATTGGTGCTGCTGACAATAGGATCGCCATCTCCGCCTGCGCCGCCTCCATCGCCTGAAAGCAAAAAAGGAACGGATAATTAATTATTCGCTGTTTTGTCTGGATTCTAAAGTTCTTGAAGAGGGGAATTGTATCAGTTACCGGGGAAATATACTTCGAAGATTCCATTGCTAATGGCATATTAAGCACGTTCTCAAGAAAATTAGCGCCTTTTTGCGAGAACGGAATATAAGGGAAGAATTTAATCAACCGATTTAATAATTAATTACTTTCATAATTTTCTGTGTTTTCGTTCAATTCTAATTCCTCGTTTACTCCTACATTTTGTAAACATATAAATATGTTTCCACAATGATCTATACGCTGCTATTAAATATTACACAATTAATAAACGCTTCTGCGGCACATATGTGTCATCCATCGCGCGGAAATTTGCAGCGACAATTGAGCTAATGAGAGGGTCGCGTATGAGGTGCTTGAAGCCTCTTAAGGTACTTAGAGAGAGCCATAACATTTACAACTGCCTGCTGGATAGTCAATATGACATCCACGGCTACTTTTGCGATCATTTGTTGTCAAGCCGCTACATGCTCGCGAAAATATAAATAATTCGGTCGCAGCCACTAACTCTTGCCGCGTTCCGATCACGAATGCAACGCGGAAGTGAAATAATGATAAAATAAAACTGAAAATGACGATAAACTGTAATAAGTATTTAAATATTTAAAAGACCAGTGTCACAAGAATGTTCATAAACTTACAATTACACGTTACTCCAATTCCACGCTCATGCGCAGAGTTCAGTATTTCAATATTTCCAAGGGTTTTCAATCTTTAAAAGGCAAATTGCATTTCACATATGATTTCGCCTGCGTTACTCGTACTTTATTTTTCCGCATTCGCTTCCTTCCCACGTATTTCATACGCGAGACGAAAACCGGGGTCTGGCGAAGATCTAACGACATTGCGATACGGTTAAAGGGCTAACTCCCAATGTAGCATCCCGCGATACAAATGGCAATGTTCCAACTGGCACGTACGATCGTTAATCGACCTGACAGAATTTTTATCAACGCGAATTCAGAGTCGGTCTCGCGAGGAGAGCTCCAGCCTCTCGGCCCATTCGTCTCTCTCAGCGAATCTCGACTCTCTCTCTTGGTATTCCATCAAGATGTACATTCCAGCAGAGAGATATCTCTTATCCAGCACGGAGAAACCGCACTACTCGAATACAGAATTCTTTTATTAATTAATTGTTTCCCGGATGAGTCAATTTCACCTATAAAACCGTGTGTCCACTAAGTTTATTCGGGCTATAAGCTGTAAAAATGAAAGATTCAAGTAGCCAAATGACATTTTTCCGAATGACAGAAATTAGCGAAATAATATATGAAACCTCCGATAAAAATATACGAACAAGCAATATTGCCACGTAAAGTTTTGTAATTCAAGAAACTGACAACATTGAATTTTTCTTGTTAACGCGGAAATCCGGAAGGGATAATCGTAAAGGATGAAACTGGGAGGGAGCGTACGAGAGAAAGAATGAGAAGACAGCAAAGCGGATTATGCAACCATTCTTACGTCGCATCGACGAGAAGGAGGGCTCCTCACTTGGTAGTCATGAGAGAAGGCTCCTCTTATCCCCGTCTACTTGAGGAGCTTCAGCGTGACATATCAGAGCCGCAAATTTCGCTCTTAATCTACTTGCGGAACGGGTGCGAGTAACGCCGTCAGTAAAGTGTGTTACGCGACGGACATTGCGCGACGGACGTAAACAAGACAATAGCTCTCGGCCGGTGCATTTATGGTTACACTTATAGTCGGCAGTTCCCCCAGATCGCCCGTGAATCAAACGCTAAATCTGTGAGAACTGACGTTCGATATCTTTTATAATTACACCGTGACATCGGAAATATATATTTAGAAATATTTATAGCGCAGGTACATGCACGCGCGCCTAACGGCTGGAAAATCGAGTTATCCTTAGCATGACTATAATCTCACGTATATCGAAAACGCATCACCTTGCCCTTGCAGGGCAAGGTAACTCAAGTCTTCAAGTTAGATAGAACGATGTTAGTTCCCGCTAATAAAGTTGCACAAGGTTGGCGATCTTCAATCATTTATCTCCAACCAAATTGAACGTACAATTGAGCGGATATATTACTAATGGAAATCGATGATTGAGCATTGTCTATTAACATGGGCGTTCATCCTTCAATGTTTAGCAGTGGCTTTGTCGGCGAATAAATTTAACCATTAGAAAAGCATTGTCCCACCCACGGTCTGAATCACCGCACTTTATCTCACGCGATTTCCGCTGGTTTTATCGGCGGTGTAACGTAACGGAAAAATGTAGAAATGGCAGAAAGACGACGAGCAATAGGACTACGCGAAGTAGGTCGATGGTTTCGCGTGCAATGCAATGCCAAGGCTTCTCTGTGTACGTATTGGGTGGAGCAAATATAGTCCAAGATAGTCGAGAGGATGAGAGGAAGAAAAGGAGAAGCGCAGAGAAGTAAAATAATACAGGCGACTGACGCGTGTACGAGGGGGAAAAAGCCGAGAGCCGTGTATCTCAATTACCGTGGGATGCTACTTGGCTGTTGTCTATTAACTTAGTTACATTATGTTGAACTTCCTATCTCGATCCCTCGCGTCGGCTTCTTCCCTTCCCCGCGCCATTCCCTTGATGCTACCTTGCCCGGAACCGCATTTTGTTCGTAAATTCCGCGCCTATGACGAGTCTCGGGATAACTCCGTGAAGTCTCGCCGCGGTCCAGCGTTCTCGGTCGGAATCCGTTCCCGCGAGAGCGAACGTGATCGAGAGATAGATTTTGACGCGCGCGGAATGTGCCGCGCGATCCGTTTTCACCTTTTCATGAAGCACGTTGCGGGACCGCAGACGAGCTCCGCAAGAGAATTGCGCGGTCGAATGTCTAGGCGTACAATTCCTAATATTTCACTGCCACCGATATCTCTAATGTCTCTCTCTTATTATACTTCCCTTCCTTTCCGATATTTCGAGTATCTCAATGAACTTGGAGTTAGACTCACATCTCCATTATTTAAACGGAATATTGGCTACTGTGTGGCTCTTTAAGCACCTGGCTATTCAAATGTCGATATTAATATCGCATGATATGTTAAGAGCTCGATATCGTTATCCAATACATACCGTAATCGAATCTCAATATTTCAGTTCACGCTAAAAAAGAAGTGTCTTTACGCGAATATGTTTATGCTTGCAATAATACGACATGTTGCAATCCGTAAAAAAAAACCACAGAGAAAGGATTTAACGTCGGCTCCGCGATTACGTATGTAATACTGCAAATCGCGTTATTTCCGCTTCCACCATTCTTTAATCTATTTAAAAACTTTTCTATTTGCACGGGAAATTTTTGCTGGCAAAAAGGACCTGACGCGACGGCAGAGTTTGTGTGATGCGTGGCTGCATTAATTTTTAATTACTACAAGTAATCTGTATGAAAAAAAAAAGTTCATTCGTTGAGTAAAAAAAGAAGTTCGGTTATGGTACTTCTACATTAAAGGATTTTCTGCTACAACGGTCAAAGCGAAAAAAACGGAATAAACGAGCAAGAAAAAAGGGAGATAGATCTCTAGGAGAGGACGGAGGGAGGGAAAAGGGGAGAGAGAGAGAGGGGGGGGGGGACAAGAGAAATGTCATTTATCCGTGGACAAAACGCGATAAGGAGAAATATATCGAGAATAAATACACGTGTTCCCGATCGAACTGCATTTCTTTGACGGATACTGCAATGCCACGAGCGAAAAACCTAAAGAGATATGATATCGCTGTCACGTAAAATAGAGTTCCCTTTCGGGAATATTTCCTGGCGATCTTACGAAGATTGTGCCCTCCACGTAACAGCTCTAACGGCTTCGATACAGAGAAACAGAGTCTCGATGAAGGACACGTTTCGCCGTTATGAAATTTTACTCAAATTTCTTGTACATTATATTGGAAACTATTTTGAAATTGTAGAAATAGAAGCATTCGTTACAATTAAACAACGAATATTGCTGTTAACCGTACAATGCGGCCACACACAGATCCGTATTGGCTGCGCCAAATATTACGTGACGAGTCGCGGTATGATTTCTAGATTTACTCTCCCGCACGTGTCCCGTGCACGTTCGAATAGTTATGATCGAGTGTCATTTGCACGCATCTATGCGTCTCGCTCGTACATAGGCACATGTAGATTCACGTGTAGCATGGGCGTGAAGCTAATTGGAGAACAAAGCGTCCGGGTATTATTCCCAGAATCGATTCCGATAATCGGAGACAAACAGAGGAAGAATTATACGACTCCGTAATGCTTCATGACGCGGTCGTAAGCGAGCTGGCCTCTCCAGAGGCCGAGTAATGATAATCGTAATATCTCATTGATGGGGCTGTAACTCGCAGACTGCGCGGACAAATGACGACCGTAAGACCATAAACCTTCCAGCGATTGTCAATATCAGGTTGCTCGGTTGACGTCCCATTATTATGATTTACAGGCCTCGCAAATTGCTTTAATAAAATTTCTTTCGCCGCAGAAAATTTATCAAAGGTTCGTAAAAGATTCGCCCGCGCATCTCCGACCTTATTCCAGATTCGATTTTACATCCGTATATCTAATTGTTCCACTCGTTCGATGATATTCTAATTTTCGTGGCCATATCATCCAATACTTGTCTCTTGATATTATAGAATTTCTTTGAGTGGAAATAAATAAATGCATAACTGATATTTAATAGAACTCACGCAGAATAAGTATAACATTGTTATACAGTTTTAAACTTTCGATCCTATCTGTGATAAATTAATCTGTTACATCTTCTCTCTTTTAAAAAGAGTTAAATTTTTTGCTAAATTGCAATAAACTAAACAGATCACTTTTAACGTATAAACTAAACTTCACTAAATTGCAATTCTAATAATTTTTTACATACATTGATTTTCTATGGATAAGAAATTAAGAAAGTTTAAAGCTGCTCGAAAACTTTATAATAATTTTTTATTTCTAACAAGTAAAAGT